TGGGAAAAAATGAAAGAGGCACAATGTGTGCGCGCAGAGCAATTTATGAGAATTGGAAGCAGACATGACTGAGGAAAGAGGAAGAGGTTACAAGCAAAATGTAGGATAGACACGAAAGATGCAAAAAATTGACACAAATAACATAGATGATTAATTATGAATTAAAATAAACCAGACGATGGTTCTGTATCAATTCGAAACAGTTACCATGGTAGTACTGGGTGTTATATACCCCCCTCCCTCCCCCCGGTACATGTTCACCGCAATGCTTCTGGGGAAAAGACGATCTTACAATCCTTCCCTAAAAAGTACCATGTGAATCCCAAGAGCAAAAAGTTTTGTGGGGAAAATTGTTACCGGCGGTGTGGGGGGTATTGAATGGTTCTATCACCATTAGAAAAAGTAATCATGAGACCACAGCCAAAACCAGATTGACTATCGCTTGACTATTGGCACTGAGTGCTACTCTGTCTCAAAACCGAATGCCTCCAGATTAATCCCTACCTATCTAGTTTAATTGATTAATTTTGCTTTTCAAAAAAATGAAGGAAGAAAGATCATGTAAATCCCGAGAGCATAAGGTTTCGTGGGGAAAGGTGTTACCGGAGGGTCTGGGGGGTATGGAATACCCCCCAGCCAATACCTCCCAACAGACGGTGGTTTTCTACCCATTCCATACAATTATCAAGAGAGTACAGGGCCTTATATAATTATCATGGGATGTTCCTTTCCTCGCTGGGGAGTATTACATATCCCCCCCCCCACGTCATCCTCCCGATACTATGTTGTCTGCAATACTTTTTGGGAGAAGACGATTTTACGGTCCTTTTCTAAAAACCGCCATGTGCAAACAGTTTTGTGCGAAAAAGTGTTGCCGAGGGCGATACTCTCCAAGCAATACCTATCCCTCAGCAGACGATTGGGTTGGTAGAGCAGCGTCGGCTGCAACCCAGCCTACTCAAAAATAAAGGCAAAATAACATAAATAAGAAATAAAAAATAAATAACCATTTCGCAAAAGTAATTATGATAGTACTGGTGCTATATAATTGTCATAAAAGCTCCCTTCTCTGGCTTGGTAGTATTCCATAACCCCCAGATCCCCCCCTCGGTACTATGTTCTCTGCAATACTTCTACCATGACAGATGAATTCTCCCTTTGTTGATCTGAGAATCTTCCCAAAAAAGCTTGTGAAATGATTGGGAGCTCAACGTTTAATGAACAAAAGTGTTACGGGGGGGGGGGGGGCATTTAGCATACAGAAGGTAATTATTTCCTGTTGTTAAGCACCTCTTTGCAGAAGAAGATCGGATGATGTTCCCAAAACACTTTTAGGAACTTTCTGAGGGCTAAAAGATTTGTGGGGGAAAGCGTTAGTGTGGGGTATGGAATACCCTCCCCCCCCCCTTCCTTTTTCCAAAGACTACCATGACAATTACCGTCAATTCTCCCTTTGCTGGGAGGTATTCCATATCCCCAGACACCCTGGTATTATGTTCTCTGGGCAGAAGACGAACTCACGATCCTTTTTGTGGGGAAATTCGAAAAAGTAATCAAGAGGGTGTTATGTAATTATTATTGGATCTACTTTCTATCGCTGGGGGGGGGGGGGCCATTTTTTCTGCAATACCTCTTGACAGAAGACGATTTTACGATCCCTTTCTAAAAAAACACCATACAGGGTGGCCTGGGGAGTCAATACCACCCAGCAGACGATGGTTCTATGACCATTTGAAAAAGTAATTATGAAACCACAGCCAAAACCCGAATCACTATCGCTTTATTGTTCGTGCGCTACGCTGCCTCAATACCGAATGCCTCCGGTTCAATCCCTACCTATCTATTTTAATTAATTACCGCCCCAAAATTGCGCTTTTTCATAAGATCGGCCACGTTTAATCAAAATATGAATCTAATCCGTTTCCTCTAACGAATTTCATAAAGTTTAAATGTGCAACTTTGCTTTTCCCATTAGTAAAGTCTTGCCACGCAATTTATGACCTTGATTGGCCGGATTAAGATCATATAATCTACTCTAAATGCCGAACGAACTCGTTACAGGTCACTGCGCATATGGAACTAAATGACTCATTAAAAATGACCGCCAATTTGATCCAAAATTTGAGGACGGAATATTTTGGCCCTCTAATTTTGACGCCCTGTGTACGTTTCACTACGAAAGTTATAAAAATGCGCAAACCTACCAAAATACAACTTCGTCTCAATTTTTTTGAAAAATAAACCCCATCTAAATGCTCCCGTTACTGGCGTGACGGATGTTTGGGCGGGAAGGGGAAGGGTAGGTAAAATGAGATACAGCGATCATCTGGAAGGTGACAGAGACGTAAAGGAGAACAAATTATTTCCCTTTAATGTCATTGGTATTTTGCATGGCTTCATCCAACAGTAAAATAGAGGGCCTTTCACGGAACCTTGCGGTACACCCTGAAACATCTTCGACAGTGATATCCAGAAATAGTCTCACACTCAAAATGCAAACCCGATGGATACACTTGATGACATTGCGTTAATCACACACAGGGTTCTTTTTTTACTCGCGTTGTGCTACCGCTCCTCCTACGAAAGATGACTATTATATTTTAAATTATTTATTTACACAGGCCTCGAATGTTTTGATTTTTATTCGTTGTCTACTAATTCAAGTTCAGTGTGAGACAATATTTTTTTAGCTCTTAAGGTTTGATGTGGACATTAGGAACTCTTTAACAATTAAAGTACATTGTGTTGATGCTGCCATGGAGGAGGGTGGGACGAAGAAATCGCTCCTTTCTGAATGCGCAATACAAAGTCACACCTAAGAATTGTTTCTCTATTTGTTTATATAATTAATTACAAACAGAAAGGCGGAGATGTATAAATAATTCGGCCGTAAATGTAACGCGTTTTTTGTGGCCGGTGGTAAATCAACAATAACAAATTTGTACTAATCGAACTTTGTATAATTTTAATTAAATTATATGGTAATAATATGCAAACGACAACAGATTAACACAATTAATTAATCGGGAGTAATTTATGAGCGGTCGCGGGAAAACGCGAAGGGGGGGGGGGCATTTCCGGACGGAAATGTCACAAATCAACGTAGATAATCGACGAGATAACACCATTCCAATTTCGGGTTACATCTATCAAGGGAAAGGCAACTTGTCAGTCGATCCTTTTTTTGCTGTGAGTGAGTAACCGGTCCGGCTACGCGTGACGTCACTTTTCTATGTGAATCGCAAGACATTTGAAATTCCAAAAAGGACAAGAATGAAAAGAATCACTACACAATATATTTCACACCATGCGACCGGAAATATGAGACACAACAAAGGACCTAAGCTTCAATAGGGCCGGGGCCCTTCGATTGTTACTTTTAGAATTCGCCTTTCAAGTGCCAAAACCGTTTTGGCATTGAAAAGACGCGTTCATTCATTTTCGGTCACGCTACCGGCACGATTCGGGCCCCGGTGGTGCGAAAGACAAAAGGGGCGAGAAAGTGCGAGAGAAGAACGCGAGCGCCTTTTACTTGCGGATTTGAGCTACTCAAATTGACGTTAATCCGTCTTAGTTCTATAAGCTCATTTTTATGCTCTGTTTAAGAACGTCTAAAAGCATTTTTTAAAACATGTATTAATGTTTGTAGAACCTGTCAGTATAATTCCGCAGGTACCCATACAAGTAGCACTAATTATTCGTCCTTGCCTTGAGACGATGTGGGTACCTTAATTCATTCAGCGTCGAATTTTTTCGGCTACATTCCTCGAGGTAACGGGACACGACATGAGTTTGTTCGTTTAATGCAAAACTTCTTTTGCGTAGAGCAATTTTTTATGTAGCTAGTTATGTGACTTGCACTACACCAGTGCAGGTATTGTTGCTCCTTTAAAGGTTTCTACTTTACCGGCAAGTAACAATGTAGTGTGTTGAAGTGGTACAATTTACTTACCTCAATTTCAGTAATGAGAAAGTAAGGTAACTGCAAAACCATACAGATCGCACACCTCAAAAACTATTTCTTTTATTTATTTAATCATTTATTTATTTATTTATTTATTTATTTATTTATTTATTTATTTATTTATTTATTTATTTATTTATTTATTTATTTATTTATTTATGTATTTATTTATTTATTTATTTATTTATTTATTTATTTATTTATTTATTTATTTATTTATTTATTTATTTATTTATTTATTTATCTATTTATTTATTTATTTTATTCCGGTATTTACCTTACGAATTAGGAAAACTGCACGAAAACCTAATTCGCAGTAGCCGGCAGAACGCTAAAATTCCCACCTCTGCCACAGATAAAAAATTCTTACCTCGGCCCAGGCTCGAACGCCCGACCTCCGACTGTGTAGCCCAACGCTCCACCGCTGAGGAGGCAGATAACAAAAGGTAGGCAGTAGCTGACGAGACCAGGTACAGAGACTGTAAAAACTTGAGTCAGCAGACTCTATCTATGAAGGGTACAAAGCACGCATCAGCCATTGTGGGTAATGTGTGAGAGGTTCAAGGCAGATGTGAAAGAGGGTTTGGCCAGATTGAGGATTGAGGACGGTTTCGGACTGGCGATTTCGGGAACTACGGAGGCTATATATGCTACAGATATGACAAACACAACATCAATTACAGTTAAAGGACATACACTAAAACTACAAAAGTTAAAAAGGCGGCTAGAGAATAGGCAAATATTACAGAAACCAACAGACCTACAGCAACCTCAAAAGATACAATAAATGCAGTGAATAGACAAACTGCACAACCTACAAACAAGTATAAATTGTACAAAACTCTTGTGCAGATAAAGCGCATTTTTTTAAACCGAAATAGCTTTTGTTTTGACATCACCAATGGATATATTTCTTGCAGACGTCTCAATCGCGCTTTGTGAGTACCCTCTGTAACGGTTAAATTTTTGAACTAGTCCCACAAATAGAAAAATATAATTGTACATAATGAAGTACGGTTAGAGGTTTTGTTATACATGCATGTAGCGGAGAATAGTATACTTGTGAATGTAGATTGTAGTTATTGATCTCCAGTGGCGGAGACATTAGGAATTTCGTTGTTAATCATTTGTTCCCGTTTGCTACTGTTTTTACGCAAGCAACTGTTTTGCTAGGTTAGTAGGTTACTTATTATAGGATCCAGTCATCAATTTAAGGGCTGTAAGCGGCCTGCCATGTTTGTCAATGTAGGGAACGTCTATGTTGGTTTATCTGAGGAATTTTTGGAGGTCTTTAGGTCAGAGCCGGTATCTTCAAAACCGATAATAACGTTGAAAATCCTTCCTTTTGATCACCGACCGTTGTGGCACTCCCATGTTTGAGGAAATCGTTAAATCCTTAATTATTGGAAATTTGTCAGTACTCCAGTCTTCTGGGTTAATTACGAAAAGCGATAGTAATTGGTATTGCCGTGTATCATTGTGGATACGTTTATTTTGGGCAATTCTTCACCTTTAGTGTGGTTTTGTTATCGCTTAACGTTCTGAGGTAAGCGCCATTTTGTACACATTGTAGATTGGTAACGATGTTCGTTCTTTTAAGGCTGACTGGATTGGGAAAAAACCCTGTACGTGTATTGCACTGCTTATTGGTTGAAATTGTTCAACGTAGGGATATTTCCGAAAATTGTACAGGTACGGCTTGAGGCTTTGAAATTCCAAAGACTTATTCTTTTGACCTTTTAGGGTTTTTTTTTGTATTATTTGTCTAATTTAATAAATTACCTTCAAACTGGGAATCGGTAAATGGAATGCATATGTTTGGCTTGGCTGTGATTGTTGAAGATTGTTTACCTGCGAGTGGTGGGTGTTAATTGTACATCGCCTACCAGCTTTTATCGTCACCCCGTATTAGAAAGTGGTGTCGCCTGGTCCACGCCATCTAGTGGGCTGAATGGCCATCTGGAACTGTACAACCGTCTCAGAAGCTGCTTCAATAGGATAAATAAAATACTCAAATAACTTACCAAGGCAAGCTCGACTGCAACTACATTACTCCCTGTAAGTTCAAACCCGTAAGTACTTTTGTTAAGGGTATGGCCATACTTATCAAGCATATCAGCACGCCTATGTGATCTGTACAGTAGGTACGTTGTCTGTTTATTATTGTTATAATCTTATATACTTACCGGTTAACGAATATTTTATTGTTGCCGCAGTTTTGCTTTGTTGTTTGTTATGTACCCATGCAGCATCTGATTTTAGCTACCTATTTGCTTATTTATTATATGTATTGAAACAAGGTTGAGTTTTCTTACCGAACATCTGATCGGCAGAGTAACGAGGCAACCGAAGCTGCTAGGAATCACGCCTGGAGAGGTGGGTATCATTACCCGCCGATATTTGGAATAGTTTCTCATGCTCGTCTGTAGTATCATTGTGTAGATTCGTTGCACTATGGTAGTATATAAATTTTCGTGATACCTCTTTCGACAATCCGTTCTTGAGGTATAAGAGAATATACCCGATCACGATAAGAGGCCGAGGAGGAGGGCTATGGCTGGTAGAAACTAATTCCTTTCGTTGAGACCTTTCATTAGAGTACCATGAAGGAAAAAACTAGTTTCACTCCCCCCCCCCAGTACTTTTAATAAGAGGGCAGAAAGAAGGGCGGTAGTTCGTAGAAAACGGTACCTTTCGTTGAGACCTTTAATTAGAATACAATGAGAGATAACATTAACTTTTACCCCCCCCCCTGGCCTCGTCGCTCACTCATTTCGAAAAAAAGTCACACGGGAAAGTTATAGTTTGTACAAACCAATTTATTTCGATGAGACCTTTCATTAGAAATGAAGGGTAGAGCATGTGTTTACCCCCCCCCCCCCCCCCCATTATGTAGAGTTTAACTTGGCACCACTAAAGGCATGCGTATGTAAACTCTGAGACCAATTGGTTGTCGTATGTCAAAGTTATGCACGTTTTTACAGAGACTACAGAAGCTACAGAAACTACAGGATCTACAAAAATTACAGAAACTACAGACACTTCAGAAACTACAGCAGAGACTACAGAAATTACAGAAACTACAGAAACTACACAAATTACAGAAATTACAGAAACTACAGGATCTACAAGAACTACAGAAACTACAGAAACTATACAGGTCACAGGAATTACAGAAACTACACAATCTACACCACCCTACAAGAACTTCAGAAACTACAGAGACAACAGAAAGTACAGAAACTACAGAGACTACAGGAAGTATACAGGAACTACACAGGAATTACAGAAACTACACAAACTACACCACCCTACACAAACTTCAGAAACTACAGAGACTACAGAAATTACAGAAACTACAGGATCTACAAAAACTACAGAAACTATACAGGAACTACAGAAACTACACAAACTACACCACCCTACACAAACTTCAGAAACTACAGTGACTACAGAAACTACAGAAATTACAAAAACTACAGGATCTCGAAAAACTACAGGAACTATACAGAAACTACAGAAACTACAGAAACTACAGAAACTACAGAAACTACAGAAACTACAGAAACTACAGAAACTACAGAAACTACAGAAACTACAGAAACTACAGGAACTACAGAAACTACAGGAACTACAGAAACTACCGAAACTACAGAAACTACCGAAACTACAGAAACTACCGAAACTACAACAAAAACTACAGAAACTACAGAAACTACAGGAACTACAGAAACTACAGAAGCTACAGAAACTACCGGAACTACAGAAACTACCGAAACTACCGAAACTACAACAAAAACTACAGAAACTACAGAAACTACAGAAACTACAGAAACTACAGAAACTACAGAAACTACAGAAACTACAGAAACTACAGAAACTACAGAAACTACAGAAACTACAGAGCTACAGAAAAAGTGAAATAAAGTACCGAAGGTACCAAAATCACAGAAGGTACCGACGGTCCAGATAGTGCATAAGGTACGGAAAGTGTAATAAGCACAAAAAGGTACAGAAGGTACTGAAAGTAGGTACATACATTGAGGTATTGAATGTTTTGAGAGTTCTGTAAGTGCGAGTTATGCAGGAAATACGATAATGATTTCATAGATATTCCTTCAAGAATATTTTTGGAAGGTTTCAAGTACAGAAACTACACAAATTACAGAAATTACAGAAACTACAGGATCTACAAGAACTACAGAAACTACAGAAACTATACAGGTCACAGGAATTACAGAAACTACACAATCTACACCACCCTACAAGAACTTCAGAAACTACAGAGACAACAGAAAGTACAGAAACTACAGAGACTACAGGAAGTATACAGGAACTACACAGGAATTACAGAAACTACACAAACTACACCACCCTACACAAACTTCAGAAACTACAGAGACTACAGAAATTACAGAAACTACAGGATCTACAAAAACTACAGAAACTATACAGGAACTACAGAAACTACACAAACTACACCACCCTACACAAACTTCAGAAACTACAGTGACTACAGAAACTACAGAAATTACAAAAACTACAGGATCTCGAAAAACTACAGGAACTATACAGAAACTACAGAAACTACAGAAACTACAGAAACTACAGAAACTACAGAAACTACAGAAACTACAGAAACTACAGAAACTACAGAAACTACAGAAACTACAGAAACTACAGAAACTACAGAAACTACAGAAACTACAGAAACTACAGAAACTACAGAAACTACAGAAACTACAGAAACTACAGAGACTACAAAGACTACAGAAACTACAGAAACTACAGAAACTACAGAAACTACAGGAACTACATAAACTACAGACACTACAGAAACTACAGAAACTACAGAAACTACAGAAACTACAGAAACTACAGAAACTACAGAAACTACAGAAACTACAGAAACTACAGAAACTACAGAAACTACAGAGACTACAGACTACAGAAACTACAGAAACTACAGAAACTACAGAAACTACAGGAACTACATAAACTACAGACACTACAGAAACTACACAAACTACACAAACTACACAAACTACAGAGACTATAGAAACTACAGAAACTACAAAAACTACAGAGACTACCGAAACTACAGAAACTACAGAAACTACAGAGACTACAGAAACTACAGAAACTACAGAAATTACAGAAGCTACAGGATCTACAAAAACTACAGAAACTACAGATTTTACAGAAACTACAGACACTACAGAAACTACACAAACTACAGAGACTACAGGAACTACAGAAACTACAGAAACTACAGAGACTACAGAACCTACAGAAACTACAGAAACTACAGAAACTACAGAAACTACAGAAACTACAGAAACTACAGAAATTATAGGATCTACAAAAACTACAGAAACTACAGATTCTACAGAAACTACAGAAACTACAGAGCTACAGAAAAAGTGAAATAAAGTACCGAAGGTACCAAAATCACAGAAGGTACCGACGGTCCAGATAGTGCATAAGGTACGGAAAGTGTAATAAGCACAAAAAGGTACAGAAGGTACTGAAAGTAGGTACATACATTGAGGTATTGAATGTTTTGAGAGTTCTGTAAGTGCGAGTTATGCAGGAAATACGATAATGATTTCATAGATATTCCTTCAAGAATATTTTTGGAAGGTTTCAAGTACAGAAACTACACAAATTACAGAAATTACAGAAACTACAGGATCTACAAGAACTACAGAAACTACAGAAACTATACAGGTCACAGGAATTACAGAAACTACACAATCTACACCACCCTACAAGAACTTCAGAAACTACAGAGACAACAGAAAGTACAGAAACTACAGAGACTACAGGAAGTATACAGGAACTACACAGGAATTACAGAAACTACACAAACTACACCACCCTACACAAACTTCAGAAACTACAGAGACTACAGAAATTACAGAAACTACAGGATCTACAAAAACTACAGAAACTATACAGGAACTACAGAAACTACACAAACTACAGAAACTACAGAAACTACAGAAACTACAGAAACTACAGAAACTACAGAAACTACAGAAACTACAGAAACTACAGAAACTACAGAGACTACAGAAGACTACAGAAACTACAGAAACTACAGAAACTACAGAAACTACAGGAACTACATAAACTACAGACACTACAGAAACTACACAAACTACACAAACTACACAAACTACAGAGACTATAGAAACTACAAAAACTACAAAAACTACAGAGACTACCGAAACTACAGAAACTACAGAAACTACAGAGACTACAGAAACTACAGAAACTACAGAAACTACAGAAATTACAGAAGCTACAGGATCTACAAAAACTACAGAAACTACAGATTTTACAGAAACTACAGACACTACAGAAACTACACAAACTACAGAGACTACAGGAACTACAGAAACTACAGAAACTACAGAGACTACAGAACCTACAGAAACTACAGAAACTACAGAAACTACAGAAACTACAGAAACTACAGAAACTACAGAAATTATAGGATCTACAAAAACTACAGAAACTACAGATTCTACAGAAACTACAGAAACTACAGAGCTACAGAAAAAGTGAAATAAAGTACCGAAGGTACCAAAATCACAGAAGGTACCGACGGTCCAGATAGTGCATAAGGTACGGAAAGTGTAATAAGCACAAAAAGGTACAGAAGGTACTGAAAGTAGGTACATACATTGAGGTATTGAATGTTTTGAGAGTTCTGTAAGTGCGAGTTATGCAGGAAATACGATAATGATTTCATAGATATTCCTTCAAGAATATTTTTGGAAGGTTTCAAGTACACATGGGACATAAATGATAATGTGAAATAGAGAAAGAAGGAAAGTATAGGAAACACAGAA